GCCCACACACGAGCCCACAGGAGTCGGCGTCCTTCAAGCTGCCTCTTGTGTCTTGAGTTTGTCAGTGTTTTGTTGGGTGACAGTAGGTGAAGCCATCCGCCTTCTGGAGCACAAACAAAGTACTGAGTCCACAAACAAAGTACTGAGCACAAACAAAGCAGAGGTGGCTTTGGAGCGAGGCTTTATTTGCCCTGCAGTTCAGAGCATGGTGATTCTAGGCTCTTCCTTGACGTGTGGCGTGGGTTTGCTGTAATTATTCTTGAAGTCGTTTAGCACAATCATTAGAAATCCAGTGACAACTTCCTTTGTTTCTCTCATTTTCAAGCAGGGATGCACGTCTTGGTTTACCAGCTCAAGAGTGTGTTGAGATAGGATTTGCTTCTGATCCAGGTTACTTGGGCATCCCAGTGATAGGATGGGGCGAGCGGCTCGCAGCAGTCCGGGACATCAACTGCACCTTCCTTCTGTCTGTCTCTGGTATCACCTCAGAGGGAGCGGCTGCCCTCCCCACTCCAGCCGTGTGCTGTGTGTCCCTGGCTGTGGGTGAGCCTGGGTTTTGTGGGGAGCTCCACGGTGCAGCAGAGTTTGGGATTTTTGTCTGGGCGGTTAGGAGATGGTGTGGCCCTGCTTGTGGCATACCTCTGAACTCTGATGTGCAGGGCTGAGTCCATGACTGGGGGCTGGGAGGGGATCTGAGGTTTTTCCTCGGAAGAATCTAAAGACAGCTTCTGTGGGAGAAGTCTCCAGGATGAAGTTTTCCATACTTGAATTTTAATAACTATGTGGGGTTTTTTGATATGCTAGACTCAGAAAGATGCCTACAGAGAAATAGCTGCTCATTTGATCTTACAGGTAGCTAAGTTTTCTTAACATGTGAAAATGAAATCCCATAGCATAGCTGGGCATGGTGGCTCAAGCCTTATATCCCAGCACTCAAGCAGAGGCAGGATTGCTGCAAGTTTGAGGCTAGCCTGGGCTGTATAGTGAGTTCTAGGCTAGCCAGGGTTAGAATAAAGGCCCCATTTCACTCCCTACCTAAGGGAGAAAAATACAGGATACAGCATGTATCCTGTATTTGATTATTTGGGTTTTCAGTACTGGGGAAGTACTTGGTGGCTGAGGCTGCTAAGCTAGATTACAGGGGAGTAGAGGGGGAGACCTGTGCTGCCAGAGGCCTTTGGACGACTCGGTTCTCAAGCACCTTCAAGTAGGGAGAGGTGCTGCTCCCCAGGCTGGGTTATATGAATGTTTACTTCAAACTGTCATGTGTCGGGTGAACAATCAGGATGAAAGTCTCTGCCTTCTGGGAGCCTGGTGTTCAGACTAACGCTGTCTGCTGGGTCAAGAGAGAAGTTACTTGTTGTCACTAGAGGCAAAAGGAAAACAAAGACACAGACACCGCTCACAGCTTGTGAGTTCATCCCGTTGTCTTTTCAGCAGACTGTTTACTTCCTCAGTTAATGTTGTCCTTCAGTTTTCCATTTGTTTGGCTTTGGGACTTTGTGTTTGGAACCCCAGAAGTCTCCTGGAATCTCTCCCGGGATGCTGGGTTACTTCCTGCGTACAGGACATTGCAGTAGTGTGCAGATTTACAGACTACATGGCATTTTTTTCCTCCTCAGCTGGAGCCTCAGGCCTCAGTCCCAGAAAGGGGAGGTGGTGGCTGCCATACCCTAAGGGATAGGAGCCAGGCTGGCTCTGGGAGCCAGTGTTCTCTGGGGACACCCAGGACAGGGTCTGGGTTGGCCGAACTCATCTGAATGAAAGCTCTGTTCCTGCTTTGTACTGCCTGAGTGCAGGATGCCAGGTCCTTGCAGAAAGGTTAGGTTGTTTACCAAACCCAGGCTTGGAAGTCAGAAGTGGCAGACCTGGCCTAGCAGGCTCAGAGGTAGAGACTTGCCTAGTGTGTGGGAAGCCCTGGGTTCCGTCCCCAGCACTTGAAAAGCCAGGCTGCGGCTAGCTAGCTCTCAGTAGCCCCTTGGGTACTCAGGAGCTGCTGTTTGCCTGGCTGGGGACAGCCCCTGGTGTCAGAGCTGCTGTGGGGCTTGTTAAAGAGTGCTGTTATTTACAGACACCCTTTAGTTCTGAGCTCCCTGCTGCCCCCTGGTGGTGGCTGTGCAGTCTTTCCGGGTCACAGTGGCAGTGTCTCCAAAGCACGTTCCTTTTGTCACCAGCCACATTTTCATTGGTGTTTCTTTAACGTGCTGGTTATTGAAAGTGGGGTGCCTGCCCCCAGCTTCAGTGTGTTGTCCAGCTCAGGCTCTGAATGTGACTTCGCTGCCCCAGTCTCACTGAGTGGGGGGGGGGGGGGCGCTGTAGGCATCACCACTTAAGGGGGCCCCTGACAGTTACCTCATTGGCAGCCAAACTGAGCCCCAGTACAGTGAGCTTCAGGGTGATGACGGTTAACACTTCCTCCAGTCCACGTCCTCACAGGGAAACTGTTCTGGGAAGGGAACGTGCCAGCCTCAGGCTGTGTCTCAGCTGCTACCCGAGAATGTCATGGTCCCTCATTGTGGGGGCACAGAGGAAAGCCACAGTGCCTCCTGGCAGTTCACTGCCCTTATAAACTCTGTGGAAAGGTTCTCTAGATTTTAAGAATAATTTTTTTAAGGTCAAAATAGGAAAAAAAAAACAAAACAAAGAAAACAAAAACCCACTGACGGCAACACTTTTGCCCTGGAGGCGGATTAATTAAAACAACCCAGCCCGACTTCTAGACAGTGCAGCCCACCAGGAGATCGTGCCAGGAATGCATAGGCTCAGTTGGGTTTTCAACAGAACCTCTACCTTCGGGGAGCAGAGTCTGCTCTGCTCGGGGACTGTGGCAGGAAGAAGAATCTGAAATGTCCACCAGAGTTGCCTGTAGTTTGTCCTGTGAGCTCTGGGAAACACGCCAGCCCCGTTTTGATTGTGAAAGTGAGGTGGGCTGACCTTGCAGAGCAGCTGGAGTAGGGCTCAGTGGGGAGCCTTTCTGGAGCTCTGGCCATTACTCTGCTTCCCTGGGTTGCAGAGCAAGGGGAACTGCTGGGGCAGGGCTGGGACAGTGGCTCAGGTTCCCTGGAAGTGACCGGTGGCCTCTGCCAGTGGACTGCACTCAGAGACTGCACTTCACGTTCGGAGGAACTACTGTCTGCCTGGGTTTTACCAGGACAACACAGCACCCTTTCTTTTTTTTTTACCTCTGAAATGTTTAGCTCAGACATCCGGCTGGGTAGGGGAAACCAGGATTCCCCAGAGAGAGTGAGTGGACTCACCCTGAGCAGGGTGTGAGCAGAAAGGAGGAGCCTCCCAAGAGTTGTGGCCTTGGTGGCCCGTCTGGAGCCCCATGTGGGCATGCAGCTCTGACCTCTCGGCCCAGGCCGGGTGCAGGGCTTCAGTCTTGTCCTTCCCTTCACCTGCTCTGTGCTTCCTTTCCCCTGAAGGTTGGGGGTTGCTTACGCCCAGCATTGCCCCACCAGTCC